CTCCTCGCTTTTGGTCCTCAGCTGTCAGCTCTCAGTAATCGTTGTCCTCTGAATCCTCTCCTCTGGTTTCTCTCAGCCTTTTAGTTCAAACGCAGCAGCAGAGAACAGAAACATGTAGGTGGAGGAATCCGAGCAGAATTTCACAGTGTGACCCAAAACAGACGCAAATGAGAAAAATTCTTATTCATTTGTCATTTTGAAGGGAAAAGAATACTGTGTGGAAAAAGTATTTAAATTCTCGTTAGAAGTGAATAAAGGTTTTGAAGATTTAAAACTGCCGAAGTTCCCTTTAGAAAGCAATGATTGACTATTTATTATTTGGATATTTTTACATCCTGGACAGTCTGAAAATTCTGAAATAAATGTTGATTTTCTTATCGATAAACTGCTTTAATATTTCTTTTTTTTTTCCAGTTCAAACAAAGATGGATCTGTTAATGACTCTGATAATCGTACTCTCCTCTGGTAAGAAAACTTTCATGGATGTTACACAGATTTAAGGTATTATCTTGTTTTTAGTATGTAAGATTTATATCTTCTGTATCTGTCACTTTTCCCCTCCATCAATACACAGGACTTCCCCTCAGCACCTGCTCACAGCCCCCCCCTCGTCAGTACCACTATATTCCCAGAGAAATGAGCTGGACCAAAGCCCGACAGTTCTGCAGAGAGAAATACACCGACCTGGCCACCTTTGACAGCATGGATGACCTCAGCAGGCTGAAAGCTGATTTCTCTTATTCCTGGGCCTGGATCGGACTCTGGGATGACCCTGAAAACTGGAAAACCTCCATGGGTAATGACACCAACTCTTGGAGGTGGTCAGCAACAGGAGAAACCAGCAGTACCGGGTACCAGAACTGGGGGTCTGAAGAACCAAATTACTACGGAGCAAATCAAAAATGTGTAGTCATTGGTGATGGTGCATTGTGGTTAGATGACACATGTGAGACCAAAAGAGAATTCATCTGCTTCAACGGTAAGATTCTGGGAATACTGACTAAAAGAATAAAAAGAAGTTGTTTAGAGATTGTTTTAAAGGATAATAAAAACTAAAATAAGCCACAGGTGAAAACAACACTTTGATGAATTAGTTAAAAAATTCACTGATGGCCTGTCTTCAGTTTAAAGTGGCTGCGTGTTTAGAACATAAAATAACAAAAATAATTAAACAGATTTATTACATATTTTTTAAGGAGGCTGGAAAATAAAATTGAAGATTTCATATATCGGTCATAGAAAACAAAGGCAATGGTTGATTCACCATTTTCTAAACTCTGGAAGCCTTCCTTCATGCTAAGACCTGACAGCTACGTCTTCAAATTAGACACAGCCTTTGTTTCTATGAATTCTCATGTTGTAAATCAGTGAAACTCTGGGTTTTCTGCTTCATAAAAGGTTGATATTTACGGAAGGTATCTAAATATTCGTACTTTAAACATCAAATATAGAAAGAGCCCTCACATCAAAATTTTGAAGGATTTTATTTCCATAGTTCAATGACAAGTTTAATTCTCATCTTAATTATGATTTCCTGTGTTGCTTTGATTTGGACAAATTTGTCCCTCCATGTTTGCGCTCTGTACAATAATACTATTTTACAAACTCTGAGCATTTGTTGTTAATATCTGAGGAATAATTGAACTCACTGTGGATTATTTTGTGCAGCAGTTTCAGAAAACAACAAGAAAAACTATTTCCACATCCCAACCAGCGAAACATGGCAGTCTGCTCAGCAGCACTGCAGGAAACACTTCACCGACTTGGCCATGATTGAGAATGAGGCAGAAAACACTGAAGCCAACAATGCAAAACCAGGGGGAAGTTTTTATTGGATCGGTCTGTACAGGAACCCCTGGACTTGGTCTGACCGGAGCCAAAGCTCATTCAGGAACTGGCAGCCGGGCGGCATGAATAATGTTTTTGGGGCACAACACTGTATTACGGAAAATGCAGACCATGAGTGGGCTGATGAAAATTGTGGAGCTGAGTGGCCCTTCGTCTGCCATCAAGGTGACTACTGATAATAAAAAACATGCTTTAAGAACATGAGCCTTTTCTCTGACTTGATTTCTGTTCAGTTGTAGGGCCGAGCACCGTTGTCAGGATGACGACTGAGGCTGATGTTGACCTCTCAGATCCACACATTCAGTCCCAGGTCCTCCAGAAGGTAAACCACTTCTGCCTCAGCTGGGACTTCTCAGCAGAAACTAAAGCTCTGAAGGCTGCTTCCTCAATTCCTTTTCAGATGGAGGCTCTGCTCAGAGCCCGGGGATTGACCGACGTCAAACTGCAGTGGAGGATGAAACCCAAAAAGAAATACTGAGAGGGCGCCACAAAACCTGATTGGAAGACTTAGTTTTTCCCTCTTTGTCAGCTCACAGCATGTGTGTTTCTTTAGATTCTGACTATCTTTGCATTTACAATAGAGACCAAATAGGGTCATAGGCACAACGTTCTTTGTTTGAGTTCTGAGTGACAATATTTATTCCTCCTTATAATTATAGATAGAAAGTAGTCGTTCCCCTCATAAACTGATAGGCTGAAGCTGATTTTTAGAATTTACACTGGCACATGTAGTCCAGTAAAATGTAGTAAACTGCCCTGAATCATGATGATCAGAAATATTTTCCACACTCAGTGAGGAAGGCTTTCATTGGCTACTTTTAGCATATGTTCATGTTAAAGAAACCTGCTGTAAGGTGCACAAAAAGCTGGTTTAAACTCACGATGTAATAGTTTTATCTGGTTATCGTTAAAGTTAAACCTGCTGAATATGAACTACTTCATGACCTTATGGAAGATTTTAACGTGATCCATTGTGCCCATCCTTCACTTCCTATTAAAACTTATTAATAAAAATTGCAATTATACCTAATCTCTCATCCTTTTTAATAATTTATTTGAATTCATATCTTAACATACTATTCTGCTAAGACTTGTTTATTTGTGACTGATCTGATAGATTTAATCACCAGCTTTGGTTATAGTGATGTAGGAAAAGATAACCTGGAACTTGATTCAAATAAATAAAGATATTCTAACTGATAACGGGCTTATGTGTGTTTTATCCAGCTAAACAAAGAAAATACTGCTCCTTTTGTCAGTAATCTGAGGTAAAGGTTGGGTATCAGCCCTAAGATTCCCTCCTGGTAAAATGAAGGCAAATGCAGACACAAATGACTGTGATTTATTTCCATTCACATGTGAATAACAAAACTATTTGAATGAGGATTTGACGTAGGCTGTTCAAAGACACAAACACATTTGTGATTTATTCAAACGAAGCTCCTGGTAACGAAATAAATACAAAAAAAGGCAAGTACATCAAGGGATATTTGCTTTGAAAGTAGTTACAGACACACTAATAATATTTTAAAGGGGACATATTATGCATCTACCAAGTTTGAATCATTTGATTATGTACATTTGGGACTGTGGAGGGCCTATCAGCAGGCAAAGTGTGAAAAAAATTACTCAGTCATATTTTTTTGGGCCGCCTCAGTCTCAATACAGAAGATAAATCAGGAGGTATCAGGCGGTTTCAGGAGTGGGTAGTTTCTGACGTCATTACCTCTACCTCATTATAATATTCCAGCCTTTCACCTGCATGTTGCCACCCACCCCAGCTTATTCCACCTATCTGTGGCAGACGTCGTGGTAGTGTGAGCATCAGCGTGGCGTAGCGTAGCGTTAGCATGCCGACGTGGGCACACCTCCCGGGAGAAGTGGATGGATTGCCTGTGTCTCAATTGCATTTAAAGAGACAGGCACTCAAAACCGAGCGCTCTGAACTGGGCTGTTTTGGCAGGGTGATTGAACTGCTATTGTGCTTCATCCTTGGTATTTTGACCAAAGCTTACATTAGGACACCGGGTAACTAGTTTAACTTGTTGAAATAGGGTATAATACGTCTCCTTTAAATAGGTGGTTAACAAACCCACAAGACTTGGACAAAAGTCAGAATTTGCATATGAATATCCCTATGAACGTTGCACAAGCTGTAATGTTTGACTTTTGGTTAATACGGAAAGAGGATTATCCTTAAAAGTGGAAGGAATTAGAACAGGAATCACAATAGATGCTGTTAGTATGCATCAATAAACCACAATTTACATTAAAGCCAAACAGTGTGCTTGTTTTACCACGTTACGGTCTGGATGGAAATAGGTCCCCACTTAATGGATCAACATGGTTCATTCTAAGGGTCCATTAACTGTATCATCTAATACAGATTAGTATGAGCAATTTGATAAAAACCCAGGAAAGAGAGTCAACGAAAAGTTTACCATCACATGCAGTGCAATTCATCTCCTAGTTCATGTTTTTGCTGCTTTATGGCGATGTTAACGTAGATCGACCGATAAATTGATCTTCATCACGACAGACCGGTACAGCGCCCGCATTACTGCATACGCCGCACCGATCCGCCTATCGATCTCACGCTCCCTACCCCCATTCGCGAAAAAGACCCCGAGATACTTGAACTCCTCCACTTGGGGAAGGACGTCCGCTCCGACCCGGAGAAGGCACTCTACCCTTTTCCGGTGAGAGACCATGGTCTCGGACTTGGAGGCACTGATCCTCATCCCAGCCGCTTCGCACTCGGCTGCAAACCGCTCCAGTGAGAGCTGTAGGTCCCGACTTGATGAAGCCAACAGGACCACATCATCTGCAAAAAGCAGAGATGCGATCCTAAGGCCACCACCCTCAACACAGGACACTGAACAGGACCGGAGACATAGGGCAACCTTGGCAGAGTCCAACTCCCACTGGAAACGGATCCGACTTACTACCGGCAATGCGAACCAAACTCTGACTCCGGTCATACAGGGACCGAACAGCCCGTAACAAAGGGCCAGGTACCTCATACTCCCTGAGCACCCCCCACAGGATACCCCGAGGGACACGGTCGAACGCCTTCTCCAAGTCCACAAAACACATGGTTGAGCGAACTCCCATGCACCCTCCAGGACCCCGCTGAGGGTATAGAGCTGGTCCAGCGTTCCACGGCCAGGACAAAAACCACACTGTTCGTCCTCAATCCAACACTCAACTATCCGACGGACCATCCTCTCCTCTCCTCCTCTCCCCTGTAGTTGGAACACACCCTTCGGTCCCCCTTTTTAAATAGGGGGACCATCATCCCAGTCTGCCAATCTAGCGGAACTGCCCCTGATGTCCACGCGATGTTGCAGAGTCGCGTTAGCCAACGCAGCCCCACAACATCCAAAGCCTTGAGGAACTCCGGCCGAAACTCATCGACCCCCGGAGCTTTTTGACTACGTCGGTTAATTCAGGCCCGGAGATTAGAGATCCCATCTCCAGATCCCCAGGCTCTGCCCCTCCAATGGAGGACGCGCCAGTGGGATTGAGGAGGTCCTCGAAGTACTCTGCCCACCGACCCACAACGTCACCAGTTGAGGTCAACAGCACACCATCCCCACTGTAAACAGTGTTGGTGGGGCACTGCCTCCCCCCCCCTAAGACGCCTGATGGTGGACCAGAATCGCCTCGAGGCCATACGGAAGTCTTTTTCCATGGCCTCCCCAAACTCCTCCCACGCCCAGGTTTTGATACCCATCGGCTGCCTGTGGAGTCCAAAAGGCCAAAAAGACCCGATAGGACTCTTTCTTCAGCCTGACGGCATCCCTCACCGCCGGTGTCCACCAGTGGGTTCGAGGGTTGCCGCTACGACAGGCACCGACAGCCCTGCGACTGCAACTCCGGGAGGCCGCGTCATTAATGGATTAGCGGAACTGGAGTTAACTGGAACTTAAAGCGATACATCAGTTCAAATCCCATTAATAGCATACATTGATAATTAAAATAACAATAGAAAAATAGATAGAACCACAAAAGAAACTAAACAACATGACCAGATTCCTTCAGAGCTGTGCTTAAACAGGTCGGAAACAAAAAGGGACTGGAATGTAGCGACTCAAACTGACTACATGACAGCATAAACACCACAAACGTGCACAAAAGTAGAGCGTTACAGTAACAGCAGCGATTGGCTCGTTCATCCATCAACCGAGTGCTATTCTGTTGT